AATGATTGCCACATTTCTTTGGCATTTAGTAGTCCTAGCTGTAACTTCATGAGGTTTTTGTTTTGGGGCAGTGCAAGACAACACAGTCGAATAATGTTAACTTTGGTTGCTTGAGCCAGCTAAGATTTTTATGAGTGCACAGTAAGAGTCATTATTTTATTCATCCAGCTCTGAAGTTTGCATGTGGCTTATGGCTAACTGAACATCCACTAGAATGAATAGGCATCAAAAGTCACAATTTTGTTTATTTCAATTTTTATTTCTGTAGCAGATGCATTACCCATGGATTAACAATGTGAATCTGAACAAAAATATTTCCATTTTGATTTAGCTCATAGGACCTTTTCCAACTGTATCCCAGTTGGAAATCCAACCTTGTGGAGTTCCAAATTTGGCAGAACAAAGATGCTGCTGGAAACAGTTTTTCAGTTTCTCAATAATTTATTCTTGTATATGAAGTTACACATTGAGTATTATTTGGCCAAATAATTTGCTTCAAGAGTAAGGTTTATGTTTCTTTTCCAAGGAGTGGAGACTTGAGTGTATCTGGTGTATCACTCTTACCACATGTAGCTCTGCAATTCCAGAGGGTAGAGGGCTCCGGTTGTCTTTCATAGCTTTCAAAAACTATGAGAAGCTAAATAAGAGTCACAGGTTATTTAACTAGTGCCAAAAAACTTGATAATGCCAATCTTAATATTGAAAGGTCAGGTATTTAATGTCCTAATAAAGAACACTGTGCATGCAAAACTAATCTGATTGCAAATCTGATTGGCAGTGCTTACAAAATTGCTGCCAAAAATCCTTACGGGAAGTTGTAAACTGATATTCCAAATCAATTAGGACACAGCACTGTATTATTATTCTTAGCCATCTTTTCATCTGCTGGAGTAATAATACCTTTGGAGACCTTTCTTGAAGATGTTTCAGAGGTCGTGTTTTCACTTCTAACATTATGGGTTAGAGATTTTGTCGATTCGTCTCTTCACTTCAACATTGCTGCACCAGGTTTTTTGCCTTCCTATAAATAATCTGCAGGAGAGAACACCCTGGAGCTGCATATCATTGTGCTTCTTGCTGGGACTTTTTTACGGTTCCTGGTCAAAAAACCAGAATTTCAGTTTTGTGGGAGTTTTGATCCCTTCTTTAAAAATCTGTTTTCTTTACAAACTGAAATACAGTCAGCGAGAAACACACAGGGAGGTGTAGCTGTATGCACACAGTTTTGGAAAGCCCCATTAAGTGAACTTTCAGCAAAAGACTGAGTTTTCTTACAGAAAGATTTTATGTAGATAAGATCAAGGTGCTTCATTTTAATGTAATTATTATTTTAAAATATCATATGAAGTAAAAAGTCTTGAGATTGAAAGTTTTTGTCTGAAATGCAAGACCTTGGATATTTCACCTCCTTCCCCAATGGCATTTCAGTGAAATCACCGTGATAGTGCAGAGTACCTACAGCTGAATGAAAAGGCAACATTCCACTGAAAAATTTACATGGAAATTTTCTTCCACTGTTTGTTCAATTGTGAACTCACTTTGTTCACATCATGACAATTATAGATACCTTATCTGTCTGGCATCTTAATTAGCAGATTACTAATCTAGGGCTTCGATCTTTCTGGTTACTGATAGTCTGTGTTTTCTGACACTTCAGTTAGTCTTTTCATTCACACATGCCATGGTTTACATATATTCTAAGTTTTCACAAAGCACATACTCTTAAATTATATCTGGTTTAATACTAAGATTATTAAGGTTAAGATGGAAGAGAAAATCCAAAGAGGTCTGGCAAAGATCAGGCCTTAAATGGATCTTTAATGTATTTCTCCTCCTAGGGCACTCATGCCAAAGTTTCCAGCAGCTTTTGGTTTTAATTGCCAAAGTGGCTTCACATCAGTGCAGTGGGAGAAGTTTCTCCTGTGTAGGTAGTTTACAAGTTGAAAAGTTTAGGGTTTATGGGATTAAATTTATCCTGTATCTGCCAGATAGCTGCATTGCTGTCAGCAAATCTCTTGTCAATAGGTTCTTCCATTTGACATGGAACTCTTGAGAACCTGTAAATTGTTTGTACATTAAGGATTTATCAACTTTACTTAAGGTCTGGAGTTGAGCTGTAGTCATGTTTGTGTGCAGCTGTGCTGTTCTGGAAAGGGCATACTTGTGGGATCAGCAGAATGAATTGCCCACTGGATTCAGTAGACAATTTCTAACACGTCCAAACTGACCAGCTGTGCTCCTTTTGTGCAGGGAACGGATGAAGCTATGGCTTACACAGTCTCAACTACACCATAGGAAATAAATTAAATAGTTGAATTTTGGAAGCATGTTCAAGATTTGTCCCTCCTGGTGACATTAAAAAAAATGAGACTGCTATGGTGGTGGGCAGGAGTATCTGCTGTTTCAATAAAGCAAGAAATTTTAAACATGTACTTGTGAAACTTAAGCACAAATAGAACAGATTTGATTCAGCATAGCTCTGAAAAGTCGTGTTTTGGTTCCTTACACATACATTTCACACAATCTCTTCGTTGATGTGGAATCATGTTTATCCTGAAACTGTTTTTTCCAAACTGAGCTTTCATTACTTTTGGGTAAGTTATGTGTTTCTTTTATGTTTTGAAAACCAAACCCCTGGACCAAGAGTTACAATCATAGTGTCACTAATTCACAAACATAGGTTCATATATCACCCTCAAAAAGAGTCTGTCCAATGACATGAACTTCTGCATCCCATTATGGTAATTGCATACATGAATCATGGAATCATCATGACATATGAGGCTCTCCAAAAATTTTGGATGACTTTTTAAACATCTCAAAAATTCTATGCTGGATTCTGTATGGGTGGATGTCTGTGCCCTGGAAAGATTTGATGACATCTGATTGGTAGTTCCTTCATACTGCAGATGCTGCCAAAAGCAGGGGGAGAAATAAAAAACAGAGCAGAGAAGAATAATAACTCTATGTACTTGATCCCATGGGAAGCTTCATCCCTGTAATCAATACAGTAATATCGTCAGAATGATGGCCATCAACACAAACTGTAAGGAAAGGGGGGCTGGAACTCTTTCTAGGACCAGGAGAGTTGAGGAAAAGGCATGGAAGGAAGAGGAAGAACAGCAAATCATTAGGGTATTTGAGGTAAATGGCAGTGCTGGTACAGAGAAATATATTTGCCATTAAGCTCTGCTGACATTTTCTCTTTGAAGATCTTTTTTACTGTTGGTTCTGGTCTGGACATATGTCTGTCATTTGGGACTTGTGTTTTTCAAGACAGCCATTTTGCTCAGGCTGACTGTGCTTTTAAATGACACACTTTAAAGTTTTTTTGTTTTCTGTTTTTCTCCTGAGGTGGAGAACAAATTTGAGAAAACACATTGATTTTTCTATATGACAAAAGATTTCTGAGGGCTGTGAGACTGAAGGGGATTAATGCTTACAGGATTTGAATGGTGACTAAACATTTGGCAGAAAGATGACACTGTTACAAAAAGTATTCCTCCTTACCATCTTGTGAAAATTTTCTTATGTTTGGCCAGTCTACCTATGTATGAAAAACCTGTTTGCATGTAGCAATGTGTTTCTTTATAGCTTCAAATGCTACCAGGACTTTCTGTCACAGTAACAGAATTTTATGTACATCCTATATCCTGTACAAGATTACAGTATAAAATCCATAATACAAGCTTTCAGGAGCCACGCATGATTTGCCCCAGATATCCTTCTGGATCCTTGTGGTAAATGCTGCAGGGCCTTGCAAAGCCCTGTCCTCTTTGCTCACTGTGATGATCCTTTTGCCACTTCTAGGAGGCGAGGAAGAGAGTGTAGAAGAAGAATTTCCTGGCTGGCAAAACAACTGCAGAACTCCAGGGAAAGAGAGGCTGGTACAAGTGCAAGAGAGCTGAGGAAAAGGCACGGAAGGGAGAGGAAGAACCTGTGGTGGGTGGGACAGAGGAAGGAGTAGCAACAGAGGCTCCAACACCTCTTGACCTGCTCCAACAGGACCACAGCCTTCTTATATTGCTGGCCCCAGAGCTGGATGTGGTATTCTAGGTGTGTTCTCATGAGAGTGGAATAAAGGGGGAGAATCCCTTTAAACTTACTTCCAAAAGACAGTTTCAGCATGGTATTTTGAAAGAAAGGGAGAAGAATCCTGGAAAAGACAATCTGTAGAGGCAGCGCTAGAGCTGCCACAAGCATTTTTGTGCAGTTATGGATGTAATTAGTTATTGTAATGAACCAAGCTGGTTTTATTATAAACTGTGAGTTAGAAGTGGCTGAGGTCAGTTGGTCTGCTCAGCCTGGAGGAGAATGAGGGGAAATCTCACTGCAGTTAAAACTTCTTGGTGAGGGGAAGAGGAGGGGCAGGCGCTGATCTCTGCTCTGTGGTGCCCAGTGACAGGACCCGGGGAATGGCCTGAAGCTGTGTCAGGGCAGGCTTGGGTTGGGTATCAGGACAAGGCTCTTCACCCAGAGGGTGTCTGGGCACTGGAACAGCTCCCCAGGGCAGTGGTCACAGCACCAGCCTGGCAGAACTCAGAAAGGTTTTGGACAATGCTCTCAGGCACATGGTGTGACTCTTGCTGTGTCTTGTGCAGAGCCAGGACTTGGACTCAATGACCCTTTTGGATCGCTTCCAACTCAGGGTATTCTGTGATTCTGCGAAGCAGAAGCGTGAAGCACGGCTTTGCTGACACTTAGTGCCCTCAGAGCTTTGGGGTTTATTTCAGCCACTCGCTTTGAGAAGGAAACCCAGGAACAGCACAGTGGAACGCGCCGCAGCTTCCCTTGGCGGGCCGCCTTTGCCCAGGGGCCGTGAGGGGCTGAGGGCTGCCGGGGCGGGCGGGGCCGGGCGGCGGCGGGGGGAGTGACGCGCCCCGGCCCCGCCCCGCTCACCTCCCGCCCCGCCCCTCCCGCCGCTCCCGCCTGGCAGCCGCGGCGCCCGGCAGCGCCTCTCCTGCGTGCGCTCCCTCCGCTTGGTACGGCCCACCCCGCCGGGGATCATGGCGATTGATGGTAAGTAGGCCAATAACGGGCTCCTCTCTCTCGCCCCGAACCGCTCCCCTCCCCCAGCCCCCTCCTCTCCCTCTCCTCCCCCGGGCACGGGGAGAGGGGCGGCTCCGGGGGGAGGGAGGGCTCCCACCGCGGTGGGAGGTGGGGGCGCACCGAAGCCGAGCGGGACCCCAGCCGAGAAGGGCGGCGGAGGGGCGCCTCCTCTGCTCCCTGTGCCCCTCGGCCCGGCTGCAGGGGCTACGGGTCAAGGGCTCTTTGATGATGGGGGAGAGGTGAGTGTGGTGCTCCCTTCTCCCGTCTCCGTGCCCAGGAGCCGGGCGGGGTAAATAAATCCCTGGCACCGTGGCCGGCATCCTTCTCCTCCTCTTCCTCCGCCGCCGCCTGCCCTGGGGATGCCGGGCGTGCGCCCGTGGGCGTCGCGGAGGGGACCCGAGGAGGACGGAGCCGTCCATCCCTCCGTGCCGTGAGCCGCCCTTGCTCCGGCGGGGGCGGGCGGCGCAGCCCCCCGGGCCGGGCGCTGCCGCCCCTGCCCGCCGCCGCGTCCCGGACTGCCCGGGCCCCCGCACCCGAGCCGGGAAGGTCGGTGCCGGGGGTGCGCAGCCCTGTCCACCCTCCCCGCAGGGACTTTGCCAACTGCTCTAAAACTCGTTGTCACTCTCTCCGGGCCCCGGAGTCTCTGAAAACTGAGTCCCCAGGCGAGGGATGCTCCCTGCTCTCCGCCGGTTGCTGGGCGCTAACAGGCTGCACTGGAGCTGCTGTCCGCGGATCTTTCTAGTCATCACTTAGAAACAACAACAAAGGAGCGAGATGTACTCGACACTTGTTGGGTTTGTTTGGAGATGCTCATCTTCAAAGACAGGGCTTCTGAGCATTGCTTTGAAACCTCTCCTCTCGACTCTGAGAGTAATTTTACACCTCTTTAAAAATCCTTTAAAAAACCCCAAAAAACAAACAGAACTTTATTTCTAGCCAGACAAGGACCTAAAGTATACAGCTTCCTTGGCCGAGGTGTTTCTTTCTGAAAGCATCTGTTGTTATAGCTTAAAGCATTTAGGAAAACAGTGGGTATGTGGGGGAAACAAACTGTTCTGGTTTGTTTCGCATGTGGGATGCTTCTCTGCTGTCAGTTTCCCTGGATTCCGGCCTCTGTAAGGAGAAGTTGCACTGATCAAGCAAAGCTGCATGTTCACCCTGTCTTGGAAGCTGTGCACACCAGGAGTCTGAGCTGGCCAGCTTTGTGTTGGCTGGGTTCTTTTCTGCTGAAAAGTCGTCTTAATATTATCAAGAAGATAGCAAAAAAATTCTGCTGGGTCTGGACGTTTTACATAACTTGAGCTCAAAAAAAAAAAAAAAATCCTTCAAAATCTGTCTCTGTTTTCATTTTAGGCAGCATTATCCCAGAAATCTGTGAGGATCTGTTAGATCTGAAAATATTCACAATATGTGAAATTCGTGTGTAATATTTTCAGAGGCTTTAGGGTATTATTTCTTTAAAGCAAATAGCCATGGATGAATAAAGCAATCTAGCATTTGAAAAGAATGCAACACTTCTTATTATGGCCAGACTTCAGAAATAGCTTAACTGTCCTGTAGATGCTTATTTGAAATATCCAAAATGGGACTTAACTCTTGAGAAAATTGGGTGCATAGTTTACTTTTAAATGTGAGGTGGGATGAAAAAACATTCCAGTCATGAAAGGGGTCTGCTAGATTTTGATTTAGGGCTCTTCCTGAAGACAGCAAATACAAAGTATTTTTCTGCTGTAGCCTGTAGCAGGCATGCCTCCTCCTCTCTGTTTTCAGCTGACTGGCTGATTGCTGTAGGGTTGTTGGTAGGTGTTACAATTTTTATTGCATACCTTGATGATCTCTCCCTCCCTGTAATTTTTAGCAGTACTGTGTTCTGGCCAGCAGTTTAAAAAGATGAGTTTAGGTTGAGTATTAGCTCTTGAAGGTGGAATCAAACCATGGGATTTCTAGTCTAAACTGTCAAAATACAGAATTTACCTTGTGTCAAAGTAAATTTGTAAATGAATTTAAGTAAACAGAGAAAATACTTTGCTCAGTTTTAAGGACACTGCATTTGGCCAGATTTTTAAATTTTTTTGTTTGTTTTTGGTAGAGGCAAAGAAAATAAGCAAGATTGAAAACTTCTCTTTGAAGAATAAATATAAAATAGTTCAAAACTCCTTCAAAGCAGGACATAGATCTGAAGAGTGCACAAAATTAAAAGAGCTCAAATTAATATATAAAAATTAATATATAAATTAATATTGTTAGCTGCTTTCATCTGTTATTAAAAATCTTTTAAAGTACCATTTCCAGTGTCACTTTTTCAGCATACCAGCTTCCAGTGGTTCTAACACTAAACCCCAAAGTTTTTGTAAAAGTGAGGCATTTTGTATGAAGTGTTACAGAGAACCGGAGTGCCATGGCCAGGGACCCGTTTGGTCAATGCCAGTGGTTTGTTATGGTCACTGAAAGACATTTAGAATTCGAGTATTCTTCATGTGATCAAGTTCACAGCCCCAATCTAGTGATTGCAGGAACTGTTACATCTTTTTCTTTAGAAAGTTCATATAATGTTAAAACATGTTCCATTTGTGTGTCTTTATAATTACATCCAGTTAGAGTTTGCATAGGTCAGGTAATCTCAGATTTGTGAGGAAACAACAGACAGCAACTCTATTGGAAAAATTCTGGCTCAAATGAGTTTAAAGAATTGTATTTGCAGTTCTTAGTTTCTGTATAGTTATCCTCCAAAACACATTTAGTATTTACTAGGAGCTCTGTTTTATGATGCAGGGTTATTTATTGCTTAATATTTCCACTTCTTCATAGGGCAGGATTAAGATAAAGATCAGAATGAGGAGCTGTTAAGTGTGGAAGAGAGTGAGGCCAAATGGGAAGGAGTAGTAAAACCAGACTGGTGGTCAGTCTGAGATTAAAATCCTCTCATCTACTGCTGCCCAAGCCTGGGGTCTTGTGGCAGTTTGCTTGGAGTGGGGAAGAAAGTTGAGCAGTGACTTCTGAGAATCCTTCAGCACCACTGTGGTAATGTTCCTCCTGGCAGCATTAATTTGATTGCTCTATGCTGCTTCTCCTCTTTTGAGAAATAGCAAAGCTTTGGTGCCTGCCTTAAGAGAAATTTGTTGAATTGAGGTCTGTGTGAGGAACCAGCAATGGAAACCACACTGTATTGCATGGAGTGGGCGTGGGGCAAAGAAATGTTAGAGGTCACAGATGGAATGTTTGCTAACCTAAGGCAGAATTGTGTATCTTGTATATCCTCATGAATCTACTTTTACCAGATTTTTGGGCCACACTTGAACATGCTGTAATCTGGCTCTGGCTATACAAGTTTACATTTTCAAGGAGGGGAAAATATCTGTAGATGAGCTTTCTCAGACTGAGCTAAATCTTTTTGATTTAAACTCTTTTCATATGGTTTCCATTGTGAGGAGTTTAGTGCTAACAAATGAGAAGTAGGATTAAAGACAATAATGAGCTGTACAGATAAAAGGAATCTAGTAGAGGAGAAAGAATTACAATGTAGTGTGGGTGTTGTCGTCTAGTAAGTTACTGATAGAGCAATGAGACTAATGAACATGGGTTCCCCTATTTTCCCCCTGTGCTCCTATCAGTTTAGCACTTCTCTTTCCTGATGTAGAGCTCAAGGTCTTTACCAAGTATGTACCTTTTTGATAATTTTGCTCCTGAATGTCTGTGAAGTGTCCTGATCTCTCTGAGGTTTCTGAGAAGATTGTCTCCTTCTTTTCCCCCCACCTTCCAGCTGCTTGGTTTGGAGCAGGCAGCTGCACCTGTTTGTGCTGTGCAGGGGTTTATTAGCTGGTGGGCTGTCCTTGGGTGCGGTGGAGCTTGTGTTTCTGTTGTATTTGCTGATTTTTATGGAAGATTGCATTAGGTTCTTAAAACTTTCTGACTATTTTGTCTTAAATTAGCCAGAGAATTTGTAAACAATATAAGGATGAGGCAGGAAGTGAACTGTTTAATTATATAACCCTCATTTCCTTGGGAAACAAAGAAATTGTGGAATGAGCCTACTTTTTGTTTATGGATACGAAAAGAGAGAGTATTTAGAACACTGCTTCATATAGGTCACATGAAAACTATGCCTAGTTGCAAACTTCCAGAATCTAGAAAAGGAAACAACAGAGCAATGAACTGCTTACAGAGCTTAAGTAGGAGTATCATGTGTAGCTTGTAGGTTGAATCCGGCCTGGGGAACAGTTTTATCTTGACTTCCCGGTTACCTGGGTTGTGCAGGTGTCACTGCAGGGTGCACTAGAAGGGTGTAAGGTGACATGGAGATCCTCAAGTTAGTGCTGTCCTGAAATGACAGTAGTGCTTCTGAATCCAAGTTGATGTGGCCAGGGCAGAGGTTGGGCAGCATCATCAGTATTTAATGAAGTCTAAATATAAGAAGACATATTTTATACTTAGGCCCACTTTTAAACACATTTGTCAGCTGTGTGGTGGATCACATGTCAAGGTATCATATTGGATCAGCCACACAGAATTGGTTTAATGCTGCCGTATGCTTAGCCAGTCACTGTGGTGGAAACTATTCAGTGAGTGTTGCCTCGTATTGTCATTGTAAGGATGATTGCTTGCATTATTTGCTGATGACAGTGAAACCTTTGACATAGGCAAAATCACCTGGCTGGATTGTCTTACACCATAATCTCTGTAGTATTGAATCTATTGGAATAAAGAAAGATGACAGGTCTCTTATCTTTTAGATAACAAAGGGGGCAACCGTTTTTAAAAAAACCCACCTAATTTCTAATGTTTTACAGACTTCTTTTTGACAAGTACCCCGTGGGCTGAGATGAAGCTATCATACTTAATATAAGAACAGTTGATGTGTTCAGAGTGAAATTTTTCTGGAATTGTCTTTATTTTTAATGCCTAGCACTTCTGCAAATTGGAATTCTTGGCTTTCAAGATGGTCATGCAGGAAAGTAAACACGGAGTCACTA